CCTTTATTCTTGCATAGACCAGTTGACTGAGCAATTTAGCTGCTATTTAAAACAATTTCACTGGTAAAAAATGTATTTAATTTCACTGACTGTTATTCTACTAGCCCCAAATATTTTAAATGAGGCTGTCAACCTTACTTCCTTTGGCACAGGTTACATCACTATTATGTTTCTTCACATGATCACACAAGAACGGAATCTAATTCCACATTTACCACACAAACAACTACTCCTTAATATTTCCATATGCCCATAAAAAGGTGCCATTTTTCACCACTTAAATTCTCCATTAAAAGGATAACTACTGAATGATCTTTGCTTTCCATAAAGCCAAGCAATGTAGTACCTGGTATCACTACATTTGTTTTTATATTTTGCCTTCTTCAATAATAACAGAAAGGAAACCAAAGCATGAGGTAGAAGAACTATAAAACATTACCAATTTTTTTCCTCAAAAATCTGCCATGCTCAATTTTCTGATTCTTGCTTCTGCTTGATTGGAGATTAATAATTAAAGTGTTTACACGAAAAAGTGTACTGTCCTATATAAAATTTTCTTTGAATTTGCTGTGGAATTTTCTATTCTTTAGTGGTAGAAACAAAGACAACCTATTTAAATCCTGAATTTACAAGCAATTTTATGAACATCTGTTTTTTTATATCATAGATTAAAATTTTGAAAGCTCCTTTACAAATTACCATTCTTTTATAAATGCTTACATGTTAAGCTTTGACCTCAAGCTATCCATAAGGATATAACCTAAAATTCAAGCTGCCAAAACTTACAATGATTAGCTGATGGTCTTCTCTGTACTCACAATGGATATTTCTACTGCTGACATTAAAATTGACAGTACTTTGAGACACTGTCTCCTTAATGAGGGAACAAAACAAATTGTCAATATTTCTTTAGTCATAGGAATTTACTCTTTCCTTTTTAGGATGCAGTGGGGTTTTTTGGGTGGTTTTTTTCCCTTCTTTTTTTTTCTTTTGAGCTGGACTTTTCCGGTTTTTATTGTAAAATTAATTGGTATATACAAGCTCTTTTATACATGCAAGTACAGAATATTTCCATCTTCAGTAGCACTTTCTGTTTTGAAGCCTATTATGCAACAAACAACAAAAAATTTGTAACCAGTGAAGCAATATAAATTCATTTACAGTGGGGTACAGGCACTGTTAACATAATTGTTGTGACTGTTTCAAAGGTCCAGTAGAGAGCTGCTACACTCGAGGGACTGTGATATATTTACATTCTCCCAAAACACATAGTTCAAGATTTCAGTTACATCAAATTTTAAAAGTTGATATCTGAGCAAAAAATATCATAGCCAGGACCAGATGTATCTCTTGTGACAGCTCAAATTACAGTACTATTATTAAAAACTAGGTTACAATACCTTCCTTTGCTATCATTACGTGTAACCTGCAGAACTTCATTATTTTATAAATAAAATTTTCAGAGGACAAAGAAAAGCTCTTTATGAATAAAATTATATTAAAGTATTATGTTCCACATTTTAAAAATTGCTTTGCAACTTATTGTTTGTCATTTATATGGTAAACTAAGAAGGTATCACTAAACAAAGTCATACACCACGTCTAAAATTAGAATGGGGAAAACACAAAGGTCCCTTGGATTACCTTCTCCCATTTCTCCTACACTTTAAATTTACTAAATGTTTAACTCACAAATATTGAAAACCAACTTTCGGCCTTTCCTACTGAAACACTGATGATTTGCTTAGAGATGAGTCACATACTGTAATCTTCAAAGCACAGATTTTCTGCTTAATCCATTTTCTGGCTAGTAACAGAAGTAAGAATTAGAGAGAAACCTGTTCTTTTGAGAAGCTGTAAAAGGGACCTGCAAAATGTATTTTCCTCAGTTTTTCCATTTAGAGCACCCCACTCAACCTGCTGAAAAAAAAAGTCTAGAGACACACAGCATCACCCAAGGCAATTGTAATCTTGCTGACAGTTCTGCTGGCTTTCCATAGCAGACTTCACAGACTTCTTGGTAGCACTCCAAAGGTTTCCAGGTTCTGAACATCACAGACAGAAAACTTTCAAGATGGTGTGGTTGAAAGTTTTTTATGGATTTCATGTTAGGAACTTGCCTCCATAGCTGAGAGGCAGCAGAGTTCATTGCTGAACTCAAGGCATCTGAGTCGGAAATAGCTACACGTGATCCAACAAAAATGTCACTGTGTGCACGGCCAGAAGAAGGAATACTGCTTCTCTCCAGGCCTGTGATTCAAACAATAGTTTTCCTTTTCCCACACATGTAAAAAATATATGTGGGTTCTTAAGTTATGCTGGTGACACATAAGTTAGAAAGCATAATTTGTATTTGCACCACAAGTCATGTGAAACAACTTGCAAATCTGAGTGTTTTGAAAGCTTACTCTGAGAATAAATGCACTGAGACATAGGTGGCCCAGACACTGAATTTTTATGCAGGTCTTCGGGAGGCAATGCACTCTAGATGCAACACAAATGAAGATTTAGAACATTTAGAACTAAACTTTTATTTTCACTGTATAAGTACAGTGGTACAGGGGTTTTTTAAGCTATGGAGCGTGGTGGATGTGTGAGAATTGTCTAACACAATTTCATTCAACCCTTAATATTTTACAGTTAATTTATGGCCTGAATTTCAGTATTCACAAATGAGAGAAATGAGTGCTGTAATAAATTCCTCTATCTTAATTCCAACCCCACAGGCTAATCCACTCAAGACAGCACCTCTAGAACTACACAGGAGTGAATAAAAGCTAATTCTACAATGAAAGTAATTCATTTAGCACTTTTACAAAGCTGACAATGATGAGAAATCACTAACAAGGAGTAGCCTCTTAACTGAAATCAATTCCACATCTAGAAACAGAGATGGATTTGAACCACTGAAAACAGTTCAGAAGAAGAAGAGGGATAAATTTTAAATGTCACATGGAAATCCACTTTCATATTTTGAAGACCACCTCTCTGAAAACATCTTGGTCATTAGAAGAGGGAGAAACACTGTCCTGGGACAGCACACAGCTCTTAACTATGATCATTCATGTTACAGCAGGACCTCCTAAAAACCCTAGAAAAAAATAAAGCCTGCACGGTGTGTGACTACACTGCAGGCAAGGCACCACACAGGCAGTAGTTTTCTTCAGAGTCCAAATGAGGTAGAGAAAGATTAGTATTTCTCCAGTATGTTTAGAAATGCATTTTTACATGCAACTAAAAATACTACTTACAAAACTCAAGTCAAAAGCAGCTAAAACACCACTAAAGTACATTTCACTGAATTAGAATTGGAGGAAAGGCCTCTAGATCTTTAGGATGACTGAGTCAAGCCTACCATTAAAAGCATCTGCTGATAGGTCATATTTTCTAAAGCCTTCATAATTCTTGTTGTTCTTCTGCAACTTGATCCAAGTTTCTTTGTAATTGCAAGCTTTACTATTCCATAAAACGATCATTTCTGAGAAAACAATGCTCTAGGAACATGACATTTTCTTTAGATACAGAAGCAACAGTTACTCTTCATTTTCCATAACTATTTCTGTGACCATAACAAGGCCTAACTGGTAATACATTTCAAATTAGGTTGTATCAGATGACTGGTGCTGGGGACATTTTTTCATTTATAGAACACCAAGATTGTAAATTACTCAAGCTAAAAATCTCACTATTGCCAAGTAAAAGAAAATAATTACATCTTTCACCTTCTGTAAAGCACTTCCATTATCAGAGCCATAATAAAGCTGCTTTTTTTCCTTTTTGCAATGGTACCCTTTTGCTGATTCATTTTGTTTGTGATTCAAAACACTTCCCAGAGTTTTTCTTTGCTTTATTATTGCCAGCCCAGCTATACCCACTTTTGTATGCATATGTTTTACTGCTGTCCTAAACCTAAATAAAATACTTCAAAGTTCTCTTGTAATTCATCAATCAATTTGAGACCATTTGTTCAAGATTGTATTTCATCCTGATCCAGTCCTCCAAATTGCTGGATGTCTCTGCTGTAAAGAGGCTGAGCACAAATGTGTGCTGTCTAAATCACTTCAATAGCTATTAGAAAATGTTCTAGACCATGGAAAAGCCCTATGGGACTGACTGTTGGACTAAACCACTGCTGAGCATGTTTTTTGACATTGTGGTGATTGTATTTACATTATTTTACCCCTCTTTTTTAATGCATAGAATCAGATGGGACAATTAAAAGCCAGTTTAAGCAAAAGATATATCACAGCTACTATTTCATTGTTGTCTATTACCACATAAAATGAAAAATCATGGGATTGGTTTGTTTTATTACTGGCAAATACAGATGAGGAATTATCCTCCAGGAATTTAAAAAAAAAAAAAAAGTTTCATCAAATTAAGACTATAAACTAATTTTTTCCTGGGTGTTAAAGATAAAATGCTTGTATAGTGCCATAGGGGCATGCTTTAAATAAATTAGTTATTTTGTCTTTTTGGTTTTTTTTCCCCAGTACAGTTGTAATCTTTACCATTCTCAAACATAACTATTTCAAAACATATTATAATTGACTCTCATAATTTGGGTAACTGGATCACACCTCTTATCTTTAACCTTTCTCCTCTCTAGTTCATCTAGTTTTATTAAACTTGTAATTGCAATTAGAAACAAGAAAACACAAGGCTAAAGAGGAAAATCCTCAGTTTATTAGAGACATAAAGGAGATAAACAAACAGCAGTACATATGCATGACTAGTTTGAGAAAAGGCAAATACACTGAGGCAGAGAACATTTTGAAAGAAGGATGGCTTATTACATTTCAACCTCTACTGAAATCAGATGAATAAAACTTGGACATTTTTTTCTAATAAGTCAGTCAACTGCCTTCACCAAAACCTTAAACTTTTAAATGTTATGTTGAAAATTAGGCCTCAGTGGAGAAATATTTGGAGTTTGTTTTCTGGGTTTTTTAAGATACAAAAGATATTTTGGTAAATAAATAAATAAATAGATAGATTACCTTAGCAAACTGTGCATTTATCCATTTTGTGAAAGTTTTCTTTTGAACATCTTCCCGTTCATCTGCAGAAAAAAAGTAAAGCACTTCATTAGATTTATTCAACAAAATAGTACAATATTAATGATTAATGTTTCAGTCTTGGTTTGTTGTGAAGCTACTGATGATACTTCAAACAACTTCAGGACACGTTTGGATGTATTCTGTTCTTGACAATTACATCAACATATTTTGAAAGTCAACAGGTCTCCTTCATGGTCATGGTCTATATCCCTAGTTCCTCTGACCCATGCTATGGTGTCCTTCCCTCTAAAAGAGAACATATTGCAGTAGGATCTGAAATATCCCATTCTAAATTTTAATTTAATACAGGTAGGAAAAATCCCCAACATGTCATCCAATGGTTTTGGCATCAGGAAACTCTTCTACAGCACTTTTAGAAAAGTACTTGAAACAACAAGTTTATGTGCACCTTATCAAATTGCTTGAGAAAGTAAAGCCTTCTGGACCACAATAATAGTTCTCCATTGGCAGCCATACCTTATGCCTTAGAATTCTGGCTTGCAACTATTTACCTGTCACAAATTGTTATGTAGTTTTCCTCCAGTGGTGAAAGAAAAAAATACCTACATTTGTTCAACCATACACAAAATTCTTCCTCAATCCTTTAATATGAAAACTTTGTAGATGGAGATGATTATCTTAGGCCTTGGTTATGTAGAAGTTACAGGTACAGTCTTGATGCTGAATGGATATGGACAAACAAGGTGTAAGTCTGATGTATATTATAGAGGTTGGAAAAGAAAGATGCTTTTAAACTAATGCTTTACATAATAATAAGCATTTGCTCAAAAAGAACTATTAGGCATCATCCCTGCAATACGAAGGACAGATCTCTTTCTTTGACAAAATAAAATCAACCAAATTAGAATTAAAAGGCATATATGGATAAGGGTGCAAAATGCTTACACTAAAATAAAATTCACTCATTACAGCCTTTTGATTTGCAGTAAAATTCTCTACACTTCTTAAATAAAAAGGGACATTAAATTCCCATCTGAAATGTTCAGCAATTAATAATGGATTCAGATGAATTTGAAAGGCAGGTATGGATGAGCTACATGAGAAATGCACAGCATTAATAATGTACTTTGCTTTCCCTCCTCCACCCCTCCAAGGAGCCATGACAAGACATGACAAGACAAATCTTTTTGATACAAATATATCTTTTCTTTTCTTAAAACCTCAACTCAGCAGCACTTTAAAAATACCCTTCCTCAAGAATGTTTTCCAGTCTCAAAGATACAATATACTCATGAACAAAATACTAGAGTTTGCAAAATTTCTATTTCATTATAAAAAAATACTGTATACATGAAGGAGTATATTCTAATTGGGTTCAGATGATCATGAGTTAAAAGCTTGACAGTATAATAGTACAACTGGAAACTTGCCTTAGAAGACATGCATTATATTCATTCTGCCATTAATATGAGTATTTGCTACAATAAACTCTCGAGTTCTACTGCTGACTACCCCAAATAATGCTGCCTGCTTCATCCTTTGGCTGAAAGTGGTACTTGAATAGTTAGAAACTCATATAAAAGCAACAGCATGTGAAGGAGATGCATGCTTTTGGTAATACATGATGCTAAAGCTGTTAAAAATTTTATTTTTCCCCACAAGCAACACCTCCCTCATTGCTGACTGTTAGTAAGTTGTTTGTTACATGAGTTTTGTCTCATTCCAGCCATGTGCAGTACACAGAAGGTGAGAGGAGGACGCATTTTGTTGGTGGAAGATACATATTCAATCTGATGTTGCAACTTCATATACAATATTGCATATAAATATAAAACTGCCAAAAGCAACCTTAAAATAGGTTCAAAGAACAATATGTGGTATTTAGCAGAGAAAAGGAAAGAGGCAAAAATGCCTCTTTCAAACTGTTCAGACTTCTGTCTTTCCACCTCAGGCAGCTGTAATAGCATGTTTAGTAACAGAGTGGGTCTCTTTCTCTGTTATTGTGGGTTTTGGCTCTTTTTTTCCTTTTTTTTTTTTTCCACAAAGATATATGTGAGTGATTTAACTAGTAGACAGCAATTAATTCATGTCCACTGAGGTAATAAAAAACAGTGTCTCCTGGGAAAAATGAGAGTCAAACCCACAATTTGAAAGTCTGAAACTTATTCAAAGTTCAGGCAACACTCTGCTACCTTTGTAAACACAAATCTATTCCAATGCTGTTATTTTTATACAGAGATCATTGCAAGCACTTTTATCTCTAGGTGCTTGCTCTGACAAGTTATACCACAGCAATTTGTTAGTGATAGTGTCCTAACCTAAAATAGAAACAATCTTTTGCTTATTCATGGCATGATTTCCCCATTGTAAACGTGTTGGGTTTTTTTTTCAAAACAGATGTTCTCCTAACCCAGATTTATGGATTGAATGCTAGATGTGCAAGCTGAATGACATTTGTCTAGGTAGGTGCTGCAGAAATATGCCAAGAATACTCATCTGCCACTTTCATAATGCTGTTTTTATAAGAGTGCCTTCAGCAGTGAGCCAATGAATGTCCTTGTAGGTGTTCCTACTGTGAGCCAATAAGAATAAGCAAATGGTTAGACAGGTAGTTTCTTCACCTGTTCAAGTGTAATAGAGTATGTTTCTTTCTTTTCTTTCAAGCTGAAAAAAATTCAAAATAGTGTACTGTCTCTCTTTGGGTTAAATCTAAACATGAAACACTGCAAGGACTCCCAATTCCTTTATCACAATAATGTGATCTCTTTCCACAGTAGAAATGCTTTCCTCAAAATGATGAAATAATGGACATTGAGTGGAATAGGGTTAAGGTCCTTTCTGTAGGTTATCAACTCAGAAAATGAATGCTCTGAGGTCTATAGAAAGCCTTCCAGAAAGCAGAGATACTGACCCGTGAGATTTACCTGATTTTCATGCCCTGCAGCCTGTAGTACCACTGAACAGACTTTCACAAATGCAACTTACAGGTCTGGTATCTGGTAGGATGAACATCCAGATTTGCATCTGTGAAGGCAAACCTCTCAGACTAGCTAACTGCACATTTGGCTTTAGAAGTATTATTCCAGGTTAGACCTCATAAGAAATTATGGCCAGGAAAGAAAGTGCAGTATTTTTGAAGTTAATCATCTGACAAAGGACAGTTCTGAGATTTAATCAAGTGGCAAAGGCAATAGAGACAAATGGTACTCTGAAGAATGCTTAGGAACAATGAGGATTCAACAGAACTAAGATGCTATTGTTAAGGGCAAGTGGTCACCTTACCAATTTCCTAAATACTTAACAGCTCAAGTTTGCAACCTACCACTCCAACGTACTTCCCTTCTATTTTCCACAAGAAACCCCCTAACATTATGTTGTCAACTCTTAGTAAATTGCATTTATTACTACACTTATTTTTTCAGTCTCCACTCCCCCAAATAACACCAAACATATTGAATGAAAAATGGCATTAGGAAAAAATAGTATTTCAAATATCTGCTATAACCTAGATATTATTCTGAAAACTTAAAGGAGTGTTAACAAGTCTTTAAAAAGTAATACTTTTAAACTATTTGAGCTGACAAATACTGAGCAGATTGTAAAATAAACCAAGGTTCAGACACATACACTATGTATGTCACTATATCATTCCCTTTGCATGATAAAAGCCACTTTCCCACAGAAAACATGTAGCAGGGAGAAGGAAATTTGCACACTTTGCACACATGCATCCTTCCCTGTTTTTTTAAGAGGATCTTCATCCTCTCTTGCTCTTGACTCATGTAAATAAGTACTTCTTTCACAGACTCAGAGAATGGTTGAAGTCATAAGGGATCTTCAGTCCAACTCCCAAATCAAGGAGGATTATTTGTAGCAGACTTTCCAAGACCATGTATAGTTTTTATTATCTCCAAGGACAGAGACTTACTGGTCCCTCAGATTGAAACATCAAGACTGCATCTTCTGCTTTCCACAGATCTGGGCAGTGATTTATGACACAAGTGACTGAGGAAATTCTCCTCTAGAGTAAGTATAGCCCATTTTTGAACATTAGAAGACATTCAAGAAAAGTTTACTGGTACATGAGGGGTACAGTAAATAGTCCACATCCTCAGATTACAAAGTTTAATTTTAAACAAACAACAAAAAAAATTGTCATTGGGGTGTCAAAAAAGATGTGACATAATGTGTGTAGAGTATTTGAATCACTGCAGAGACAGGCAGTGACAGGAGGCTCAGTTGTGTGATAGAAGATTTTATGCACCCTTCAACAGCAGTTCCATCACAGGTAGGAACACAAACAGGAAAGGAGGGGATTTATCTTATTCTCTTACCCAATGTTGCTGTGAACTGGGTTAAACAATAATTGAATAGCTGCATTTTGTCTACCAGGAACTGTGAGCAAGTAAGAGGAAAAAAAATTCTCATATACTGCTAAAAACTTTGAAACAATTGTGTTAAGGCAGGTGTCAATTCCCTCATTCGTGGCAACAGCAGGTTCATTGAAACACTGCACCTCAGAGAATGAAACCTTCAAAATTGTTATTTGATTTTCTAGCAGCCAAACAATGCAGATTGAGAAAAGGTCAGGATTTTCTTCAGTGAGTGGGAGTGAGTACCAGCAATGGTGGGAACACTAGGAACAAAAGAGGCCACAGATAGTCACATTATTGATACTCTGGCTCCATCGACTCACTATTCTTAGAGATTTCCAGCACATTGTTACAATACTCTGCCAGTAACTACAACTGCTGAGAAATGTTCCCTTCCCATTCTTGCTTATCTGAGGGGAAAAAAAAGAAATCAATGCAATAGAATGACTGAATTATATTTGAGTGGACTAGCTTTGATTTTTAGTCATTGAGGTCATCCAAGACATTCACAAGCTGACAGGAAATACAATAGACTGCTTTGACAGACAGCCAATGAATTTAAGTCTATTGCTCATGTAAGGCAATATGGAATATACAATTCTTTGTCCATCTTCTATAAATACACTGATGAGCAGTGTGTTGCCTTAATCTGAATATTGTTAAAACTC